CTTTTTTTTTATTTGTTTTTTTTACGTATCCCCCTATATCTCTGTGTTTTTTTTATATAAGTTTTTTCTTTTTCTTTCACTTCTTTATGAGAAGATATCATCAGATTGGTGATATCCTATTATAAAGCAGTGGTCGAACAAGCCCCCAGTAGGGTATTATCTTAATTAATCGTACTTCTTTGGTGTGGCATGGTTGTCTGTAGGTGCATATAAGTAATTAGTTAGATTATGCGAAATAATCACAGGATGTCAAACCTGTAGTTTTAATGTTATAGTACTTCTACAAGTAGCATATTATTAAATAAAGGTACTGGTACAATCTGCCAAAGTGAAGGAAAAAAAAAAAAGTATATAGTAATAATATTTAATTGGTAATTCACCATTCAATCAGAAAGAGCTTATAGTATAATGTGACGTGGTTTATATATAGAAATTAGGATTTTTGGAATATGAGCTGCTTCTATTTAAACCTTTTTTCATACTAAGTTAATTACCTTTGGGTCTTTAATTAAAATTGTAGAGCTTGTCAAGATGAATCTAATGGTAGTTAAATCATCAAAATCAGCTTAGTAAATCTTCAAAAAATGTTTTACTAACTATGTAAAGAGAAGTTTATATAGTTAGTAAAATGTTTTTTGAAGATATCTTGTGATCTACTATGTTGATTTTGATGATTAAACTACCATTAGATTCGTCTTGATAAGCTTTACGATTTAGTGATACGGGCTGACCCTGACCTATCGGCCAGGCCGGCAGGCAGGTCGAGGGTCGACTCATGTTTTTGTGGGCCGACCCGATTAATCTTTTTTACCAAAATAAAATTTTATATAATTTATTATATAGTGTGATAGTAAAACGTTACTATCGATTATTTATAAGCTATCTTTATCCGGGTTTATCTACATGTCCCTAAGATTTTACATGCATTAGCATTAGTAGCATGCTATTATACACTTTATATTAAAATTATTACGAGGATCTTTATATGTGAAGTCAAGGACATAATGGCAATTTCTATTGATTGCTATTTTGGGTTAGATGTGAAAATATAAGAAGTGAATGTGTTGTATAAGTAAGGTTATGTAAAAAAAATATAAGGATTGAATGCGTTGTATATATTAGAGATAGAAAACTGTAAAGATTGTAAGAATTAGCGATTTGTATATATAAACTGGGATGGAAAGGATAGTGCTTTTTTCTTTTGCTACCTGACTTTAGTCTGGCTCTTTGGTAGTGTCCTTCCCAGCCTCTCCCAAAAAAAAAAAATTTATATTGTTGCAATTAATTCGCCCACACTATTATTCAATATGATATAAATTTGCCCGCTACAAAATCCACTTGTCATACTAAAATTTTCATTAATTTTGTTATTAACGTTATCATTGGCATTGTTTTATTACCTCATTTTGTATAGATCATTATTACATTATGTTATCATAGTTATTACTTCATTTTCAGTTAATAATTACTTTTATTATTATATTAGTAAATTCTCATTACTACATTACTATATTTTTTGCACATAGTATATTGTTTTTCGTTTTCCTTATCTCATATATATGTAATCAGGTCTAAGCTAAAAAGTATATATAGAGTATCGCATCCTGTAGAGAGCATAATAGTTTCTAATAACAATAATAAAATTTACTCCAATTCCATTCTACATATGCTGATCGAAGCTTAAATATTCTCTAAAAAGCTAAACTATATAATATAAATTTCTAAAAATTACAAAATTCTTCTTAAAGCAAATCATAAATAAATTTTTTTCCAAAATGCTAATTCAATCTAACGTCTAATATAATTCAAATAAGTCTTTCTAGTTGCACTTTATTCCTTAATTATGATCGAAAAAAAACATAACACCCGATCTCAAAAAAAAAAAAAGAGTTCAACAAACTACCTCTGATATCTCGGGGTCATCAAATAAAATTAATACTGAATTACCTGAAACTCGACCTAATAAAGTGCAAAAAATTAGTCAAATAGAGGAAGATTCTGTAACTAAAAGAACTGAAAGTGAAGAGCTCTCAAGCCAAACATCATATAATATGGGTTCGCCATTTCATTTTTCATCTCAAGAACAAAATGTGAATCATCAAGTAATTGCAGTTGATCAATCTTTAAAAGTTTCAGATGTTAAAATATTAACAAATCATGTAAGCAAATCAAATAAAACAAAATTAGCAGCAAGAGCTCCTAGTTGGGTTTGGGATCATATGAAAAAGGACAAATCAAAAAAAAAAATTAGATGTGATGTAGTTATAACTAAACTAAATGGAAATGAAAAAAAATATGATAAAATATTTAGTATTGCAACATCAACTACGCACCTTGGTGAACACCTCAATTCTGTCCACAGAATTTTTTCTTATCAACAATATGGAAAAAATTCAGATGGACAAACAATAATAGATCCAGATAAATCAATGCCGACCATACCTTCAATGTTTTCAAAAATGGAAGCTCATAAGCCGATTAAACAACAAAAATTATTATATCGTTTAACTGCATGGATAGTTGATGATTGTCAAGCATTGACCGTTGTAGAAGGAAGATGTTTTTGACAATTTTGTTATGAGATAGATTCTCATTTTAAGGTTTTCAACTCAGCTCTAATTAAAACAAAAATTAGAGAATCAGTGCTCTTTGCTAAAGATCATTTGCGTAATTTAATATCAGAAACAATAGAAATATTTTCTTTTACCACAGATATGTGGACCAGTATGCATCATCCTTATATTGGTATAACTATACATTGGCTTTCAAATAATTTTAAATTATATCAAGCAGTGTTAACTATAGAGGAATTTCCTTATTCACACTCAGGAGAACGCCAAGAACAATTTTTATCAAAGATTTTTGAATATTGGAATATATGTGATAAATTGGTCAGAGGAACAACTAATAATGATAAATCAATTGTTAAAGGAATGCAGCTTCTCAGAACACCTCATATACGTTGCACTGCCTATACGATTCAATTATCCATTAAAGATGGACTTAATGCTTGTAATGATCTTTTAAATAGGGCAAAAAAATTAAACAATTAATTAGTAAAGAGAGATTGATATCGTCAAAGTCTTCGTAATATTCAAAATGAATTTAATCAGTTGTCAGAAAGTGCCTTGGAAGACACAGAATGGCCACTATTGGAAGATGAAGATTCTGAATCAGAACCTGAAGATTTGACTGAATCATTAGAACAACCAACAACATCACAATAACAAAAAAAAAATAACTTATCCATCGTCGAACCTATTCGTGATGTAAAGACCAGATGGAATTTGACTTTTTTGGTCTTAAAAAGGTTACTTCAATTACGAGATGCTGTAGAGCAACTCGCAAGGTCTTTACGTCATCATCCTGATTTTCAACAAAGAAAGGATAGACAAACTTTAAGTGAAAAATTACTTACAAACACAGAATGGATAGAATTAGAGGAACTAACATTACTTTTAGGTCCTTTTGCTCAAACAACAAAATTAATCAGAGGAGCACAATATCCAACCCTTGGCATGATGCTTCCTACTATCTCCCTTTTATTCACACACTTGTACCGAATGAAAGAGTCACTAACTTCATCCAATATCCTTAATATTTGTTATCAAATTGAAGATTCTATGACTAAATGTTGGGAAGCACCTTTAATAGAGGCTTACATTGCTTCTTACCTAGATCTTCGATTCAAAAGTATATCCTTTGACAAAGAAAAAAAAAAAAGAAGTTCAAGAAATGATCGCGAAAATGATAAAAACAAATACTATTGATATCCTAGAACAAACTGAAATGGATCAATTTTTCGACAGTGATAATCAATCTGATTATCTATTAGATAATGAATTAGAACGGTATGAACAAGCAATACAAATGAATAAATATCACATAGACCACCCACTTTACAAAACCCACAACCCTCTTACCTGGTGGAGTATGCATCAAAAGAATTACCCAAATTTAGCAACGTTAGCCCGAAAATTTCTTGCTTTTCCAGCAACTTCTATACCTTCTGAATGTTTATTCTCTAATGCAGGTAATGTTCTAACAAAAAAATGAAATCATTTAGATCCAAGTACAGTGCATGATATATTGTTTTTAAAAACAAATTCAGATCTATTCAACATTTATCCCGGGCTTGAGTAAAGGTTTTTTTTTAGTAAAATCAGCTTGCGGGTACCTTTTTTTTTGTTCTTTGCTCATACTATATAGGTTTTTATCATAGTTGAAGGTTAATTGTAGGATAAAGTATGTACATAACTTAGAGTATGTGTTTTAGATCTATCTAGATCTATTCATCACAAATCTAAAATGTTGTGAAATCTAAAAAATTATAAACATTAAAAAACGTTAAAAAAAAAAAATTGTAAATGTTTTGTAATTTGATTGGCTAAAAAATTATATATTGTAAAAAACCAGCCCATCGACCTGGGTTGACCCACCCTGTATCGGCCCTCGACCTGCAGATTTTTTATCAGCCCATATCACTACTACGATTTCAATTAAAAGCCCAAAGGTAATTAACTTAGTACAAAAAAAAGTTTAGATAGAAGCAACTCATATTCAAAAACTTTAATTTTTATATATAAACCATATTACATTATACTATGAGCTTTCTTTGGTTGAGTGATAAATTACCAATTAAAAAACTACTATTATCTACTATACACTAAGCTTCTATTGAAGGCCTGTACAGTATATATATTTAAAGAGTATATACTAGTTATATATATAACTTTTGATTATCTATTTAAATAGTTTGCTTATTACTAAGTTCTATACTAGATATCATAACAATAATTCAACTAAAGTTACCTATTTAAACCCTTTGTACCTATAGGGTTAACCTTTATAACTGAGCAAGAATCTAATTTGAACTTCTTATTTTTAGATACTCAGCTTAGAATTTTAAAACAGGCTTCAACTATTTTAAATAACTTTTTATCTTTAAAGTAAATCTGCTAGAACTTTTTGTATTCATATTCTGGTTAATCTAGATTTTAGTAATTTACATCAAGTCTGAGAACAAGTATTTGTGAGCTAAAGCCACTACAATTATCTACTTCTGTCTTTGTAAAGTTCACCCAAACCCAGTATACACTTTACAGACTATTAAGAGTACTCACCAAGTTTCAAACTATTAATTCAATAGCTCAGAAAGGACTTTTACCTGAAAGTTACTGGTTTCCTGGTAATTACAAATTAAGCAGATCCTTTTCTTTCAGTTCCGATAGTCTGGTTAGTAGAATACTTTCTCAAACACTTGGTCTTGTTCAGTTTTTCTAGTTTGATCTAGCTATTCTAAACTACTAATTTAGATAGCCTGGGAGAAACTTTTACTTGAAAATTACTGGTCTCCTGATAATTGCAAATTAAGCAGATCTTTTTCCTCTAACCTTAGTAGTCTTGTTAGTAGAATGCTTTGCTATACACCTTGATCCTGTTTAGTTTTTAGTTCTTATAATAATAGTCCTTTACATAGTACTGTCAAAGATCTGTATTATCTTTCTATTTGGGCCTTGCCAAGTAGGCGTTTGTATTTTCAGTTTCTTAAATTTATAATCTGAAAGCTTATTTATATAATTTATATATTATACAAATACCTTATAATCTTCTAATCCTGTTGGTGCAACCAAGATTACAGAGATCTCATTCTAACTATATATACTAATGAAATTATTTTAAAATCTAAAACCCAAAATTAAAATTTGAAGATGAAATTGTTTTTGACCTATTTTACTTAAAAGACAAAATTTTTTGATACTTTTTTGAAGAGATGAAATTATAAAGAATATAACTACCTAAATTAAATTTGCTCTTGCATATAAAAATTCTAATTTGCTCTAATAGAAATGGAATAGGGTTTTTTTGAAAACCTATTTCGGTAGTATATATAATTTCAACTGATTGATAAAAGACAGTAGCCATTATACAAATAAAATATTCAAAATTCATTATCAGTAAGTTTTGAACCCTCTATCTAGCCAATATATCACTTGAGATGTGACAACTTAACTACTTCACTAAGTCACCACACTTTATTTTTAGACTTTTATATATAAATTCTTCTATTAATTTTGTTTACTTATATTAATATTTTTTAATAAATTATAAGGTAAAAGGGGAATTGTGGTGAAGAGAGTATTGTGACGAATTCATGATATCTCGTGATCTAGCGATCAGATTCGAATAATTTATATACCATTCGATTCGTCTCATCGAGACGAATCGAATG